AGAGAGAGTGCATGCAGGGCAGAGGGGCAGAGAGAGAGAATCCCAAGCAGGCTTCGTGCTGTGAGCACAAGCTTGTTGGGGGCTTGAACTCGGTAACTGTGAGATCATGACCTGAGCTAAAACCAAGAGTCGGAGGCTTAACCAACTGAGCCACCCAGGCACCCCTCTTTTAGCTTTTAAATTCTAGCTCTTGTTCATTCTTCAGACTCTTCTGTGTTTTAAGAAATTTTAAGAAAGGAAATCTGTTTCTTATTTTATGCCTGGGGACACAGGCACAGATATTTACCTAGAACATTATCTGTGATTTGGGTTTGGCACAAAGCTTTCTTTATTAATAATATTTTTTAATTATAGCTAATATTTATTGAGCATTTTAAATGTGTCAGGTTCTGTATTAAGCACTCTACTGCATTGTCTCATACAAGCTTCAGAACAACCCAATGACATACTTACTACTATGATCCCCATTACATAGACAGGAATACTGATGTTCAGAAAGATTGGGCTACTTGTGACAATCACATAGCTAATAAGTGGCAGAGCTGAAATTTGAACCTAAGACCTCAAAGGCTCAGTCACACAAGACTGCTCCCACTTTGACACTAGTCACAAGTAGAGTCTCCAAGCTACCTGCACTCTGCCTAAACAACTACAAACTCAAGCGTTCCTGAGACACTCCACTCAGGCTCAATAATTCTCTAGAATGACTCACAGAACTCAGGAAAGCACTATACTTATGATTACAATTGTATGATAAAGGATACAACTCAGGAGCAGCTAAATGGGAGAGATGAACAGGGCAAAGTATGGGCGGGTGGGGGAAGTGCGACTGCACAGAGCTTCCATGCCCTCTTTGGGCGAGCCAGCTATGATAGGAAAAGATAAGATTTAGTAGGCAGAGAGGGAAAGATTATGACCTGAGGTCCCTGGGTGGGGAAAAACACATGTTTTGGAACAATGCTGGGAGCATCTGACCACAGCAAAGCTCGTTGGGCATAAAGTTCCTCTTAAGAATGTGACAGATATCATCTACTCCCCCTCAGGTTTCCCTCAATAATTTGACAAAAGACCTGACTAAAAATAAGTAGTAGATCATAAAACATCTATAAGTAGACCTACAAGGAGTGATGTGGCCATAGGCCACCCCTCATACAATGGAAATGAGCCAATCAGGAATGGACAACCCAGCACCTAGAGCTATCAAGCCAATAAGGGAAGAACCCGAGAAGGAACAAGGGGGAAGGGATGGGGAGCGACCAGAACCTTATAAAACATGGACCCTTGCCTGTAGTCAAAGGCATTCACTTTCAAATACCTGCTCTCTGCAAAAAGAGCTTTCCTACTATTCCTTTCTGACCTTATACTCTAATAAGCTTTTTCCTGCTTCTCATCCTGTGTCTGCCTCTTCATTCTTCAAAGTGGTGAGACAACAAAACCTGGGTATTGAGGTAAAAAATCCTACAGCATTTCTTTGGGGGCTTGTCTGGGATATCAATGTCTTCCAACCATAAGTTAAGAGTAGCCAGCACCCCCCCTTTTCTTTCTATCATAAATAAAACTCTCAAACTAAATAATGGGCACCTGATCTCCCAATATAATTGGGAATGTCAGTGTGGTGGAGCCCCAATTTCCTTTTGAGAAAAACTTCTGGATGCATGGGCTCAGGGGAGGCCAAACAGCAACTGATGGGTCCTGACCAAGGCGACTTTTTTAAAAAAAAATTTTTTTTTTCAACGTTTATTTATTTTTGGGACAGAGAGAGACAGAGCATGAACGGGGGAGGGGCAGAGAGAGAGGGAGACACAGAATCGGAAACAGGCTCCAGGCTCTGAGCCATCAGCCCAGAGCCCGACGGGGGGCTCGAACTCACGGACCGCGAGATCGTGACCTGGCTGAAGTCGGACGCTTAACCGACTGCGCCACCCAGGCGCCCCCAAGGCGACTTTTTGATGGATGCTTGAAGGCCTTTGGCAGGACCTGATCCCTGATCATCCATTTGGGTAACCAGTGGAATTCTCCTTCTGTCTTGGCCAGCCTCTCCCTTTGGGAAATGGGTGGAAGAGCCCAGGACTGATCCCTTGGATATTCTCCAGGAGTTATCTGGATGACTTCCAAGGGGTCTTACTCACAAGTTTCCTAACTACAGTGGAAGGCAGTCCTGTGCTTGCTTCCATTTTTGACACTCTGGCATGGCTCACCTCCCAGGTCCCCATTTTTTGGATCTTTGATTTTCAAATGTCTCTTCCAGAGCAGAGAGCAGCACTGACTTCCATGCCACCTGGGCTCACCACCCTCCTCCTGCTCCTGATGTCCATGGAGTGGATGGGAGAGAAGACATTTGGCAGGCTCCCTCAAGATGCAGATGATAATTAGAGCCAACTGTCTCTGGTTAGTCTACCTCGGGATGGGGACTTTAAGTAAGGAATATTCCCAAGCAGCTGCCAAAACTCCTTTTGTTTCTAGGAACTTCCCCATCTTTTCTGGCCTGACATGGACTGCCCATTTCCACTTGTTGGTGGGAGAAAAAAAATATCTGCATCTGCTCATCTGTCTGAGCTGACAGGCTGCAGGACCAGGAGACCTCTCTCTCAGCCCTCTGGGCTTTTATCTGTGTCCAGGCTTCTTTATGAACCTCACCTCTTCATCTTCCCCTCTCTATTCCTGTTTCTGCCCCACCTTGGGTGCGGCCTACAAACTGGTTCTTATACAATCCTTGGTGCCTCAGGGACCACTGGCTCTAACTCCTCCTTTGCTGTCCAGGGGCAAAAAACACCCCCTTACTTGTACCGCTTACTTCAGATTTCCCCACTGGTGCCCCAGATAAAAATTGACAATGGTGAACAAATTGATTGACTTTTAAATGGACACAGGTGGAACATATTCAGTATTTAAACAGATTTTAGTTTATTGGTTTAATTAAGATAGACATGTCTTTAGAGTTAACTCTAATCAGCACTAAATCCAAAAAACTTTTTCTACCTAGGTTTACTGAAGGTCAAATAAGCTCATGTTATGTCTGTCGCAGTTTGCTAGCAAAAAGATGACTTAAAATGATAGTTAATTTGGTCTGTCTCAAAGTTTTCATGGGTAATCATTAAGATAGCTTTCAGGTCTTTGATAACCTGAAACTATAAAGTTTTTGTTGGATGATAAACTGGATTAAATTCATTGGACATTTAGGCCTCTTCCAAATTGGATGGAATGCTGAAACATTATTAACTAAACATAGGTTTGTGCTTTTGACTTATTGCAGAAAAACTAAGGATACTTGGGTCTGTTGGAAAACATGCTTTGTACTTTATTGATTCATAAGTTTGCCATTTAAGGAATTCTGATGTAACAGTTCACTGGTTACTACTGAGTTTTCACTGGAGACTAAGGTTTCTAAGAGTTAAAATTCTATAGATGTGGTTAAGACTGATGGATATAAGGAAGGCAACTCTGTATATAGAAAAGTAGATGTGTAAGAACAACATAAGGAATGGAAATACATTTTTGTTGAAGTAAAAGGAAGTAATTTTGTCCTAAAGTGAAACTGGTTCTTTGGAGAGAGATGGCTTGGGACAAAATTTGGATGCAAAGAAAAGTTGTAGAAGGTTCATGAAGGGAAATCTTTGGAAAGGAATTTTATGTGTGGTCAGGATGGACTAAGGTTAAAATGATATACACTGATATAAGATTATAATTGCCCTCCTTTGATCCAAAAACTGGGGAAATGACAGTGATACCCTCACTGCTGGCCTCCAAATGCTCCACATTTGTGTTGTTTCTGCAAAGCAGAGGAATGGATGCACCCCATGCCTGAAGGATGGATGACTATGACATGAAGGGCTTTTACCGGGACACATGGGAGCCATTTTGTTACACTTAGCTCAGTGTATGCTGACTTGTACCAATCTAGTGACTTTAAAATGGACACCCACATAGCTGGAACATATTTATGTGGGCATTACTGAAAGAGGCAGGGGACTAGACCTTGACTTTGGCCCTTACAGCACCCCCCTTCAACAGCTGATAATCGATATGTAAATTGCTGTTGGGCCAAAATAAAATTAGTGCATCCTTCTACAACCAAGGGAGTCTTGCTTATAGTAGATACCCCCAAAGTCCTGCAGGTGGGAAATGGAGGGGTAGGAAAAAGTGAGGAAGACAGGCCAGCTCTTAGAGGTAGGGTCAAGCCCGGGTAAAAGTACCTCCCAGCACCTCACGAGACTGACAGGGCTTTTGGCTGCCATTCACATAGCCAGCCAAAATGCAGGGCCAGGAGATGAAGCTTCTCCTGGCCAACAATTGGGGTCAGGAGATGAGTTTTCTCCTGGCCAGTCATAGGAAATTGAGATAAGGGATGCCTTTTCCCCTTTTTTCTATAGCTGAGCAATTCCCCAACCAATGCCAAACTCCTTTGGGATGCATTCTGAAAAAGCAACTCACTTTCTTTTGCATGGAGGCTTGGCCTGAGTACAAATTGGAGGAGGAAACCTGGCCGCCAGGGGGAAATACCAATTATAGTACTATCCTACAATTGGACTTGTTTTGTAAACATGAGGGGAAATGGGGAGAAGTCCCCTATGTTTGATGTTTTGGGGCTTTAAGAGAAAAATTGCGACATGTGTATGCAATGCAAGGTCAACCCTGGCTTATTGGCAGCCCTTTCCAAGGTCCAGAAATCAGGAGAAGAAACAATTAAGGGCCCATTACCTGTACCCAAAGCAGACCTAGAGAAGGAGGAAGGGAAATCTTCCACCTCAACTTCCTCCTCCTTGGGTCCTCGATCTATATATCCAGACTTAAAAGAAAAAAACCCACAAATGTGCACTTCTGCTCCCTGCTGCCCACCTTACTCAGGCCCTCCCCATAATGTAACAGGTGTGTTTCCTCTACAAGAAGTTAGAGTGCCAGGAGAAGGGACACAAAGAGGCACCACTATGATAAGATTACAAGTACCTTTTTCATTACAAGATTCAAGACAGATAAAAGGAGATCTAGGTAAATTTTCTGATGATCTAAGTAAGTATATAGAGGCTTTTCAGACTATCACGTATGTTTTTGAGTTGACCTGGAAAGATACAATGCTTTTGTTGAATCAGACTCTTAATGCTGAAACATGGGGTTCTGGTAGCGGTTGAGAGACATGGGGATGAGCAACTCATTAATTATCATGGGCCAATTATGTGGCCTTTCAGGGCACTGGAAATGAGAATGTCGTCAGAGGGAACAATTGAAGTCGAAACCCATAAGCCACGCCCCTTGTGTGGAGACAGTCACTGGAGATCTGAATGCCTTCAGGGACCTCAATCTGCAAGGGCTCAGATAACCAATGTCCCTGAAAGGGACTGATGCTGCCCAGGGTTCTTTACAGTGGCTCCCCCCAACCAATTACTTATTGGAAATCCAGAACCTCAGGTAACTCTAGATATAGAAGGAAAAATGGTTGATTTCCTTCTTGACACTGGAGCCACATTTTTTGTCCTTTCCACCTCCTGGCCAACTATCCAAATGCAGTGTAACTATTAGAGGCATCTCCAGAAAATTTAAGACTAAATTTTTTTTCTCAGCCACTGGGGTGCATATGGGGATACTTGATTTTTTCACATTCTTTTTTGATAATGCCAGAGAGCCTCACTCCCTTTCTAGAAAGAGACATTATGACTGAATTAGAAACTACAGGGGCGCCTGGGTGGCACAGTCGGTTAAGCCTCCGACTTCAGCCAGGTCACGATCTCGCGGTCTGTGAGTTCGAGCCCCACGTCAGGCTCTGGGCTGATGGCTCAGAGCCTGGAGCCTATTTCCGATTCTGTGTCTCCCTCTCTCTCTGCCCCTCCCCCGTTCATGCTCTGTCTCTCTCTGTCCCAAAAAAAATAAATAAACATTGAAAAAAAAATTAAAAAAAAAAAAAAGAAAGAAACTACAGAAACTATGACTGAATTAGAAACTACTAGCTCCAGGACAGACAAACAATTGCCTAAACTTACAGCAATCTGGATATCAAAGGTCAATCTTTCCTTGAGGTAAATTACACCTGATGGAGTTGTTCCTATAGAAACTGGATGGCCAAAGGAAGATTTGAAGATTGAGAACCAAAATCTAGTTCAGGTACTTAGTTATTCTAATCAACACTATTACAAGATCCAAATAAGTATGGGAAAGAGAGGAAAAACTATAGTCAAATTAATAAAAAATATGACCAGACATGCCAGGGATTTTTTTGATGGCTACAATGTGTCTTTCCCTCCTATGGTGTGGCTTCCTCCCTAGGAGGCATTACATTTGGAATATTGATGTTTGTTGGTCCAATATTCTTTTTGTATGTCATTTGTAGATGCTGTTGCATATGCCAAAAAAAAAATAAGACATCCATGAAAATTTTGCTAGTGCAGATTTTCCAAACACCCTCCCATTATATCAGACATCTGGATTGACCGCTGAACCTGCCCTGACTGTCTTTCTGTCATCATCCACCCCTCCCTGCCTGCCCTTCAGCAGGAAGCAGTTAAGATCTGTTGGTCTTGTCCCAATTCCTAAAGGCAGTTAGGGTTAAAGGGGTCACATGTTCAGAGAGGGGAATAGCTGGGAGCATCTGACCACAGCAAAGCCCCTTGGGCATAAGGTTCCTCTTAAGAATGTAAGACACATCTCCTCCCCCTAAGGTTCCCCTCAGGAATTTGACAAAGACCTGACTAAAAATAAGTAATAGACTATAAAACGTATGACCCACAAGGAACAGTATGGCCATAGACCACCCCTCATACAATGGAAATGAGCCAATCAGGAATGGACAACCCAGCACCTAGAGCTATCAAGCCAATAAGGGTAGAACCTGAGAAGGAACAAGGGGGAAGGAAAGGGGAGAACGACCAGAAAAACAAGGACCCTGCCTCCTCTCTGTAAAGAGAGCTTTTCTACTATTCTTCCTTTCGGATCTCATACTCTAATAAACTTTTGCAAGCTGCTCTTTCTGTGTCCACCTCTTCATTCTTTGAAGCAGTGAGACAACGAACACTGGGTATTGAGGTAAAAAATCCTGCAACACATCCTCCCAGCAAATCAATATTCACCAACCCACAAGCTCCCCTAGCCTCCTTGTTTCAGTTTTTATCAAGGCTTCATTAGATAGGCATGATTGATTACATCATTGACCATTGGTGATTGAACTCAATGTCTAGACTCACTCACCTCCCTGGAATTTACAGGTGGGGCTGAAAGTTCCAATCCTCTAATCATGGTGCATGGCCAGCTCCTCCCTTGAAACTATCTAAGGGCTCACCTTCAGCCACCTTCTTAGCATAAACTCAGATATGGTTAAGAGGGACTCATTATGAATAACTAAAGACACTCCTATTACTCATGATATTCCAAGGGTTTTAGAAGCTCTGTGCTGGGAACTGAGAACAAAGACCACATATGTTTTGTTTTATCATTTCATTTTACTTTTTTTCATCATCATAAGTGTCTCTTTAATCCCTATCACCTATTTCATCCACATCCCCACCCACCTCCCCTCTGGTAACCATCAGTTTGTTTTCTGTAGTTAAGAGTCTGTTTCTGGGGAGCCTGGGTGGCTCAGTTGGTTAAGCAGCTGACTTCGGCTCAGGTCATGATCTCACGGTCCGTGAGTTCGAGCCCGTGTCGGGCTCTGTGCTGACAGCTCAGAGCCTGGAGCCTGTTTCAGATTCTGTGTCTCCCTCTCTCTGACCCTCCCCCGTTCATGCTCTGTCTCTCTCTGTCTCAAAAATAAATAAATGTTAAAAAAAAAAATTTTTTTTTAAGTCTGTTTCTTGGTTTGTCTGTCTTTTTCTTTGCTCATTTGTTTCTTAAATTCCACATATGAGTGACATCATATAGTATTTATCTTTTTCTGACTGACATTTCGCTTAGCATTATACTCTCTAGCTCTATCGATGTCGTTACAAATGGCAAGATTTCATTATCTTTTTATGGCTGAATAATATTCCATTATATATACAGGGATGCCTGGGTGGCTTAGTTGGTTAAACTCCCAACTCTTGATATCGGTTCAGGTCTTAATCTCACGGTCATGGGATGGAACCCCACATTAGACTCCACACTGAGCACAGAGCCTGCTTGGGATTCTCTCTCTTTACCTCTCTCTCTGACCCTCCCCCCTCTCAAAATAAGTAAACATTAAAAAATATTTCATTATATATATAAATATATATATCTCATTATATATAATATATATATTATATATATATATATATTACAGCACCCCATAACAGTCTATTTTTAAATTGATACCAACTTAACTATAATCACATACAAAAACTCTACTTCTATATGGCTCCATCTTCCCAAATTTTATATTATTAATGTTAAAATTCCATCTTTATATATTCTGTACCCATTATATGGATTTATAATTATTCATAAGGAGGAACTGGAAGTAAGTCTATACTTAGAGAACCAGTACCGTGGTCTTCCAGTTTCAAGGTTCTAGTTCTGGGCCCTAGCTTTTCTTTCTTGCCTCAGACTCAGGCCCTCAGCATGATGGATTTGGTACCTGACTAGGCACTTTGATCACAAGTGCAGAGCTCCTCTTTCTCAGGACGCAGAGGACAGAAGCTTTTGAAAAATTTGGAAAAATAGACCATAGAATAATAACATATCTGAGAAAAAGGCAAATTCTACAAAGACTTGTACTAGTCTAGAGCACCCAGGTCCCTACTGTAGTCAGGGTCTCACAGAGGTCAGGAAAGGCTCCAGCTAATTCCATTATTTAAGGGTCACTTTAATTAAGGAGGAAAAAAGGCCAAAGCAGGGTATAACAATTGTGGTATCCTTTTATTTAGTAAACTTTTTCATATAAAAATGCTCAAACTCATAGAAAAGTAGGACATTCATATATCCACCAACAAGATTCAGCAACTGTTAACATTTTTGCTATATTTGTTTCATTTATATATAAATAATTCATCAAATCAAAGATGACACTGATTGTAAGACACCCCATTATTTTACATGAAAATAAAATAAAGAAAACACTGCTATTAATTGTTTAAACACCACCAATTTCTAAGATACATTCCAATTTTTAGGGATATTAAGATATAAAAAAAGAAACGTGTCTAAAGATTGTGTGTTACATAACTCCACTATATAAAGTCCTACATCAGGTAAAACTGATCTGTGGTGAAAGAGATAATCAGAACAGTGGCTCCCTCAGTGAGGGGCTGGAGAGAAGATTGATTTGGAAAAGGCAGGAGGAAATGTTCTGAGGAAAATATTCTGTATTTTGATAGAATACTGGCATTTATCAAAACCCATTTCTTTGTAAGATTTAACATGTGTATATAATACATAATACTATATTATATCTCAGTTAGAAATTAAAATAACAAAATGTGACTTGACATTGATTTTTGTTTTTGCTAAAGCATTTAAAAGGTAAATTAAAGTAAATTCTTCATGGGGAAAAACTGAGAGCTTTTTCCCTGAGATCAGGAACACGACAGGGATGCCCACTCTCACCGCTGTTGTTTCACATAGTGTTGGAAGTGCTAGCATCAGCAATCAGACAACAAAAGGAAATCAAAGGCATCAAAATTGGCAAAGATCAGTCAAAGCTTACTTTTGCAGATGACATGATATTGTACATGATCGATAGATTCCACCAAAAGTCTAGAACGATACATGAATTCAGATTGCAGCATACAAAATCAATGTACGAAAATCTGGTTACATTCTTATACACTAACACCAATGACAACAGAAGACAAATAAAGAAACTAAGTCCCGATAAATTGCAAGAAGCATAAAAATACCTAAGGATAAATCTAACCAAAGATGTAAAAGATTTGTATGCTGAAACTATAGAAAACTTATAAGAAAGGTAATTGAAGAAGATATAAAGAAATGAAAAGACATTCCCTGCTCATGGATTGGAAGAATAAATATTGATAAAATCAATACTACCTAAGCTATCACATTCAATGCAATCCCAAGTAAATTGCACAGCATTCTTCTCGAAACTAGAACAAGCAATCTAAAAT